GGCCTAAGAAATTGATTTCCATCGTAGCATTGCAGTAGTTAATTATTGCTTTACAGGAAGCAAAAAAATCAATTAATGAATGCCTGAAGCACACAAGGTGCAGCTGGTGAGAGCTGATATTTTGCCATGAGCATAACAAGTTATTAAGGGAAGTTTACTGTGCATAGTGTCAGTCAGCATTAATGTAGATGCTTCATAGAATTAATAGTACTATTTATATCAATAAGATTAACAGAAAAATAATCTCAGGGAAATTAATAGTCTAATTAGCAGAAGCAGTGAATTTGTCGAGGTATCTGCTATATGATCATGTGATAAAACCTACTGGCATTATCAAGTTGAAGGCAGATGCGGAGTCAGCAAAGCGTTTGCCTCCAAATATATTAATTAAACCAGTCACTTTTAATTTTGAGAATAACACTCATTCCATGTAGTCTCACATTTGCAAAATTACCAGGATTTTAATGGAATGATTGATCCTTCACTCATAGTTTGTGGGAAGTGTGACAGCATCGAAAAGATTACTTGAAAGGAGGGAACAAATGAGTTCATCAAGTAGATAAGTGATCATACATTTCGGAAGATTAGCAGTTAATGGGTGAATAGACCAAAGGTTTATTTATTACTATTTATTTAATTTTATACCACCCAATAGTTGAAGCTCTCTGGGCAGTTAACAAATCATTGTAAATCTTTTTAATGTGAGAAGTTTATACAGTGCACTTGATTACAGAATGGAATTGCTAGGAATTTTGGTGATGCAAAGGTTAGAAAGTTAAGAATAAAAGCAGGACTGGTGTTCAAAAAAGAGTCTCAGCAGGTTCTTCACAGATAGTGTGAGACCAACTTTGCCATTTTGTTGTCAAGCACACCTAACTGATAATCAGATAGTGGTTGAGACATCAGTTAAGCCCTCCCTTGATAAATCCAGCAGCCTATCTGCCTTCCAAAAAGTGGGTCATAAATGTTCGTTCAGTTAAACTTGTGCCCTTCAGATGTTTTGGCTGACAATTCCCATGATCTCTCACTGTTAGTTATGTTGGCTAAGGCTAGTGGAAGTTGTAAACCAAAAGTTTCCCAACTCTACCCTTTGTCTCATTAACAGCTAACATCTTAGTAACAATGGCAAAATTACTCTAGGAATTAGTGGGAGGTGGGATGTGTTAGTTAAGGGTTGTGCACTAGTTCAGTTAGCATTTTTCACAACTGTACTCTCACTGATTCAGATTACACTATACCGTGAACTTGGAGAACCATTTTATTTCCCTAGGGTTCATCCCAGGAAAGGAAAAGTGTGCTTGGACTGAAAGCAGTGAGGGTACTTCCAAGACAGCCTGCTATACTGACCACATTACATTTGTCTTTGTTGTAAGAGCCTTTGAGCATAGATAGGAATTTGGCCGTTCAGTAGATAAGAAGCTAAAGCTGAATCCTGGCAAGACAGAAGCCCTGTTGGTGTGTCGTGTCTGAATGCAGGCGATGGTCCCATTGCCTGTTCTGGATGGGGTTGTCTTCTCTTTGAAAAAACAGGCTGGTGGTCTAGAAGTATACCTAGATCTGTCCCTAGACTCCCAGGCAGCTCAGGGTACCTTTTACTGACTTTGACAGGGACAACTCGGCCATAGTGATACAGATACTAGTAACTTCAAGACTGGATTACTGCAATGCATCCCATGTGGGACTGCTCTTAAAGCTGCATCAAAAGCTGTGCAGCCACCAGCCCAACTCAAGGTTTTTGCTACCGGACCACCTTTAAGGCTCTGGTGCTGGTGTACGAAGATGTAAACAACTTGGGACCAGGATGACTGAGAGAGCTCCTTCATCCTTACCCACTTACTTGTCATTGAGGTCATACAAGGGCATTCTCCTGGTGGATCCTCAGGGACTGATGACCAAATTGGAGTCTACCCTAAGAAAACCCTTTAGTGTGGTAACTCCATTTCTGTGAAACCAAATGCCTAGGCAAGCTCTGACAGTATGTTGTTTTCAGTGTTCTGGCAAGCTTTCCTTGCTGACCAGTCATGGTCTTAATATTATCCTGCTTTTAATGCATTTTTATTTTATCTGTTTTATCTTTCTATCATTCACTGCTCCAGTATCTGTCTGGATCCAGAACTGTATAACAGTGCTGTAAATAAATAATAAATAATGCAGGGGAAGGGTCTATATTTGAAGATGCATTGAATGTAATAGTTTGAATCTGTGAAACTGAGATAGTATTTCCTTAGTTCACAGTTGTCGTAAGTTAAGAATGTTGCAATGCATCCAGATAAAAATAGGGCAGCAAGAGACACCAGTTTCTATGGGAAGCTGAACAAAAGCATACCAAATAAGCAACCTATATGTAGAAGTTGGTATTAATCTGTGTCAGCCACACCATCTGTTAAAAAAGAACAAAGAAGTCTGCCCAGTGTTTCCATATTTACACGAGGAGCATAACAGCACATTAAGTATTGAGTGCCTTGGAAGGAAAGTGGTGCAATCCTTAGCTATGATTTGGATTTGATGATCCAGAACAGTGCAAACACCTCTCTGTTGTTAGATAAAGTCCTTGTGATGGCTGTTCAGTTAATTGTCTTATTTGCACATGCCCCAAAATGGAGTTCATACTGCTTTGTTATGTGCTTGCTTTTAAAAGAGACATTCTTAATTGTGTATCTCCAAGAACTTAGTACCCTTTATTAGGAGAAAAGCTATTGAGTACGGTTTCCTGGAAGAAGTTGGCAGAGTAGGTGAGGAAGCCTTTCATTTGAAGAGCTTTTCATGGCTTCTCTTCCCAAGAAGATGCATTTTAGAGCCTAATCACCTGGCAACCTTTCACAGCAAATATTCCATAGTTTTGCAGAAGAAATGTGAACCTGCTTCTCTCTGCCAGCATCTGTATGCACATACCCAACAGAAGGGTAGAACCAGACTATCGTTTAATGCATCCCACTTTGTAGAACAGATGGAAATATTTGGCGACTCTGTACTCTGTACATTTTGTCCGCCTTTGCCATGTCATCAACAGTTCCCCTTACTTTAGCATTAATATTTCCCTCAGTTACACCTTACATAGAGAAATGTTCTGTTGTATATTACCAATGTGAGTAAAAAAGCAATAAGCGACCCCCCTCTCTCTATATATATGCACGCTCAATGTTGCCATTAGCCATCTGTGTGTACAGTGTTAATTGGGAGCAGCAAGACTGCACAGGCAAAAACTCGCTTTGCTATCTTAGAGGGTTACCACTGCTTCATAATTGAAACAGTTATTCTAAATCTCTCTGACCTATTAGTACTTCAAATTTACTGCAATTTTACCTTTTTCTAGTAGTAGTACTAGTTCTTATTCTTATGTAGTATTCTTATGATTTATTAAATTTCTACAAAGCCACTCCATTAGCATTATGCTCTCTAATACAATGTTGTTGCCCTACAACGCACTAAGAAAAGATTTTAAAATGGCATGATCCTGCCTCTAGGCTTACCATCTCAAAGTTAAGATACAAGATGAAAAACATACAAGGAGGGAAGAGGAAAAAAACAAACAAAAAAATGTAGCACTAAGACTTTCTTGTTTGAATGGCCATTTGGGTGAGAGTGGTGGGGCTGGAGTCCTGGCCTCAGCCTATACTGCCTCAGCTCTCCCTGCATTGAAGGTAAAATATTCTTAGACTTCTTTATTTCATTTTTATACCAGCCAATAGCTGAAGCTCTCTTGGAGGTTCACAGCATAAAACACAGTGCACAACACAATAAGAAGAGCATGAAAGTAGACATAAAACAGCATAAAAGCAATATATTTTTCCAATATACAATTAAAAAACCAATTAACACCTACAACAATCTTAATACAAACCAGACCTGTTAAAAGCAGCTGATATAAATCTACTAGCACATTGATAAATATCCTAAAATGCCATTTAATGCTTGAGAGAAAGCAGTCCTGATTGAGCACCAAAAAGATGACACGAGTTAGCACCAAGCATGCTTCAGCAGTGGAATCATTCCATAATGCCCTGCCGAGGTCTAAGGGCTATTCTTTTTGTACTTAGTAGGAAAAAAAATCTCAGCCCTTCAAAAAGGGGAATGTTGGTCCAGAGATTTATGCTTTGAAAGGAAACAGAGTTCTCAAACTCAGGTGAAGTGCTGAGACCAGACACCACAGGATGCCTGCCTGCCTGTCTTAACAGTTAAGCATTGCTGCCATTAGCTATTTATTTTGTACAGGAAAAGTACATTGGCTTCAATTGGGCGAATAGGCTGCATTTTCATAGGTCCCACAGCATGCTTTTCCTAGACCTGCCCTACTTCTGGTAGCCTGCCGTTCCAACCCATGCCAGCACAGTCTTGCTATAAATCTGTTCCACCAAAAATAGTTCTAATTCTCATCCTTATAGTTTTCAGACACCCGCCCCTATCAGTAAGAATCAGGCAAAGGCTTTCAATTCAATTCAATTCAATTCAATTCAATTCAATTCAATTCAATTCAATGTCCATGAGAGTCACTTACTTCAACTGGGGGAGAGTTTGCCCCACTGGAACAAGATAGGACATCTTATATTTTACATTTGCATTCCAAATGTATCCTGATAGTTTACAGTACGCTTTAATACACACAAATGGTAAGCTTTGGAAACGAGTTTTCTGTTCCAAGCCTGCCTGCATCAGCCTGTTGACATTCATGATGCATGAGCGGTGACCATTTCCACGGTCTCTCCATTGCTTGTTTTGGGAGTGAACTGCAGCCATCTTGACAATTTTCAGTTTTGCTCCCATTTGATATGAGTGGTAAACCTATGTTTCTCCCACAACACAAGAAACTGCAGAGTTGTGCAGCGTCTGTGCATCCATCTCTGTATCCACCTTGACATAGTCATTGCATCCAGAACCTGAGTAACCCAACAAGACTCAGCAGCATTTTCCATTTCTTGGAGACTGTTGCCTTCAGCTTCTGCTTCAGGACTATTTTGCATCCGTGGCCTCCGGGACTTGCACTGTTTGTATGATCCTCAGCCAAAAATATGGAACACTCCATGAATTTGTGTGTCATTTTTGCGCGGGGGCCACTCTAATCTTCTCTATATTGTTCCAATTTTAATATATGTGCCACTGAAGTGAGCACAGGATGCATTTGTTTTTCCATGGACTTTTTTTGTTTGTTTGTATAAGTTGCAGCAAGAGAAGTGGCAGAATCAAAACTTGTCATCTGCTGGCTTAAGATTCCATAGTTTTTCCAGGTGGATGAGCCGCAGCCTCACTAATACTGTATGATATGCCAAATCATTCAAGTGAAAGATTGCCACACGGAAATGCAATATATGCATATTTCTGAGACTATGCTGTAATATATTCTCAGACTTGCTGAAATGCTGTCTTCAGAAGTTCTGTCTCATTCATATCACTTGGAGCCATAACTCCTGCTTTCTTTCCCATTGGAATATACCCAATGCACTGTTATAAAGCTAAATATTGTACTTCAGACTTGTCACTTTTGAGGATGTGGGGTACAGCAAGAGAAGCGGGTCATTTGCAAGCATTTATAGATATACCTACTTGGCTCAGGAGAGAGGGGTCCCCCAGCCCTCCGCCTCTAGAAGTTTAATTGTGTGCTAAAGCACTGCTTTGCTCCAAGCAGTTTTATTTTCTACATAGGTGTCTTTCCACCTTGTTCCTTGCCGCACAGCTGGTCTTGTTTTGTGCATGTGCTTCTTATCATAGGTGTCGTTATGCCCAGGCACACCAAGGCATGTGCCTCAGATCTTTGCTGCTGTTCCCCTGATCTTTAGAATTGCTCTAGTGCCATCATATCCCCTAATATACAAGCCAACTTCTTCCTTTCAAGTAAGCTGGCCTTGCAGTTACTAGAAGACTTTAGGACTCACCTCCTTAGCAGATCAAAAGGGAGTGTAGCATGAAGGCAGACCCCTTTTGAACTGGATGGGAGTCTTCAAGCTTCCTTTCACAGTCTGCTCACTGCTCCACTCCCCATTTCTGCTCTTACATGCCCACTGCTGGCAGTTTGCTTGAGAGAGAGGAGAGGGCAAGAGGAGCTGCCTGTGAAATGCACAGCATCTGATTTTACTGCCCCCAAAATGCAACCTTTGGCTTCTGCAGAGATCAGTAGCCTCAGTGCAGGAAAGGAATTAATCAGCCTCCTCAGTCATCTTCCCCTGACTTCTACTTTAATTTCTCCCATGTAGCTGCAAGCAGCAAATCATACCAGAAGGAGAGTTAGGAGCATGTGACATCATGATCTAAGAACTGCTGGGGTTTTTATTTTACAGTTTTAAAAAAGCAAGAACAGGCCTTTAGCTACCTCACCTTATAAAGTTAATTTACAAGTGCCCATCTTTCCTAAATTCCTTGGAATTGCCACCTACTTTAGGAGTCAGTTGCTGTCACAAGCCAGGCTTCCCTCCTTCACAGTTCCAAAATATAGACTGTTCTATGGCAAAAGCTGTTTATTCCCCAAAGCACTTCCAGTAAGCGCAACCTACAAAGAATGAGTCTCTGAGCATGCACCAAGTGGTTCATTCAACCCAATCTAGCAAATGACTTCTGAGCATCCTCCTTTTGAGTAACGCTGGGGCCCCTCCCTCTGGGGTGTCCCTTTTGGAGGCAGACAAGTCTCTTCTCTGTCTGTCACCTCCCTAGTTGGTTAGCTTGTTTCTCCCAGCCTTCCAAGTATCATGCCAGGCCAGCTGACTGCAGGAGTTCTTCTCCCACACTCCTTTCCAGCAGCTGGACATCCTGACTATTCTCAGTGACCACCTGAACATCTTGGGAGGGTACCCTTGAGATAAACCCCTCTGCTTCTTCCATTTCAATGACTGAGAATTCATGTTCTCAGGACCCCTCATCACTTGATGAGTCTCCATCTTCCTGGCCTTGGAACGTGTGCCTGTCCCTATCACTTCCTACACTTGTCCTGAAGAATCCGCCCTCCCCACCGCCGCCACTCTATTTCTAATCACCGCTCTTCTTTTGCACTTCCTCGCCCCTCTTGGTTGGTCTTTCTCCTCCTTTCTTCATTCAAGAGGAACGCCCAACTGGGGAGATAATTCAGACAAGATTCAGAGGTGTCAGATAAGTTCTCAACTGTATTTGACGTAATTCAAATAGACAAGAGGGTTTTGTCCTGGTTCTTCTTGATATCCTCATATGATTCATACGCTTGTAGAGAATGGCATCTGAACTGGAGCCATTTTGCTTGACAGGTGCCATTAACCAGCCATAGGGATGAATGAAGCTCAGGGATACAGCACATGCATAGCATGTAGTGGGGGCCAGGTTCGGTTCTTGGCTTCGGTAGGTAGAGGTGGGGTGGAGGGAAGCACTGCCTGAAACCCTAGAGGACTGCTGCCAGCCAGCGTCAGCAATGTTGAGCTAGTTGGACCTGAATTCTGAGTCTGTATAAGGCAGCTTTCCAGGTTGCTATTAGCAGAAAGCTCTAACAGAAACAGAGATTAAATGGTTTTGGGATGGAGGGGAGGTAAATGCCACTCATTTCTATAACACGATGTATTTCTGCTCAGAAATAAGTCCCATTATGTTCAATGAGCCAGTGTGGTGTAGCGGTTAAGAGCATGGGATTGGGACTCAGACGATCTGGGTTCTAGTCCCCGCTCAGCCATGGAGCCAACTGGGTGACTTTGGACCAGTCACAGACTTTCAGCCCAACCTACCTCACAGGGTTGTTGTTGTGGGGATAAGATGGAGGAGGAGATGTAAGCTGCCTTGAGCCCTTTGTAGGAAAAAGGCAGGATATAAATCGAAAAATAAATAAATAAATAAATAAATAAATAAATAAATAAAATTGCCAGAATAGTGTACACAGAATTCCAACACAAGTTATTTTCATACAGAGGTTTGTAGCCTAATGTTCTCTTTCAGAATCAGAAATAATTAAATAAATTGCCCATCCAATTCCAGGGTGCTGAATTGACTGCCCTTTCAGCGCAAACCTTAGGCATAGGTTGCCGTTTGTCTGCTTTTTCTTTTTGCATGGACTCTAGCAGCAGGAAAGGATACTTAGTATATGCTCAGAAATTTTCCATAATTTAGGCTTTGTTTCAGAAACAGACTCCTTGATGCAAATTGATTTATGGAGAGAAGGAGACAATGGGAGCTTATGTATAACAAGGAGGAGCAGTCAGTCAAGCCAAAAACAAAGCATCTGTTTTTACAAAGAGTTGCTGGAGGATGGAAGAATGGGGTGGAAATAGTGTGAAGAGGGGAACAGATGGAGAGGAAGAGACAGTGCTCAGGGATGAGAAAAAATATTCCTCATAGGCTCAGAGGCACCCTTTATTTTACTTTATTACTAACATTGATGAAATCTAAATCAGTTCTAGTAATTCATTAGGGATGTTCATTGAATTTGGGCAAAGTCTGAAGGCTAAGCAGTATCACACAGACTATATGTCTTGAAATAACATATTTTGTTTGAAGAGTGGAGAGTGCAAAAGTTGGCTTGAAATTCAGCATGAAGGAAACTAAGATCATGGCATCCGGTCCTATCACTTCCTGGCAAATAGATGAGGAAGAAATGAAAGTAGTGACAGATTTTATTTCCTTGGGCTCCGAGATCACTGCAGACGGTGATTGCAGCCAAGAAATTAAAAGACGCTTGCTCCTGGGGAGGAAAGCTATGGCAAATCTAGACAGCATACTAAAACGCGGAGATATCAGCCTGCCCATAAATGTTTGTATAGTCAAGGCTATGGTTTTCCCAGTTGCAATGTAAGGCTGTGAAAACTGGACCTTAAGGAAGGCTGAGCACCGAAGAATTGAGGCCTTTGAACTGTGGTGCTGGAGAAGACTCCTGCAAGTCCCTTGGACTGCAAGGAGATCAAACCAGTCAGTCTTAGAGGAAATCAACCCTGACTGCTCTTTAGAAGGCCAGATACTGAAGATGAAACTCAAATACTTTGGCCACCTAATGGGAAGGATGGACTCATTGGAGAAGACGCTGCTGCTGGGAACAGTTGAAGGCAACAGGGAGAAGGCAATGGCAGAGGTTGAGGTGGCTGGATGGAGTCACTAGGGAAGGGGGTGTGGGGATGGTGGAGGACAGGAGTACCTGGAGAAATGTTGACCATGGGGTCGCAAAGAGTCGGACATGACTGCGACTGAACAACAACAACAAAATGCTGTAGAAGAAGAGAGAAAATGTGGTTGAGTGACTGACAGATGTACTTTCTAATCCTAGGGCATATTTTACCATGAACTCCAATTGCTTAATTTGGAGGAGGGCAAGGATGGGACCATGAGATGGTCATTCTTCTAGTGCTGCCTTGCTTCACTATGAAAAAGGCTTAAACTGGATTTTAAACATCATAATTCGCTAGGCCCTGGCCCTATCCCTCTGAAATTTTGCAGTTTTATTGCCTGAGGACACCTCTGTGATCTGTGCCATTTTCATACTGCCCAAAATTCTGATGGGGTGAAGGGAAAGCAAACCTCCACCCCACTGGATACTTCTCCTTTCTCATGAACTGCACTCTTATCCTTCTGAGACATTCCCAAGTTCTTACGTACCGACACATTTATGCTATCTGTAATTTTCAGTACAACGACCCACTTAAGACACAAGGAGATAAGTACATTCTCTTCTGGAGACCATCCTAATGCTTATGCAGGGTTCACGTGGGGCTCCATCCATGCTGAGTGCCATGTGAACAACATTCTTCCACGTCATGTGCAGCAGCAAAAGGCTGCTGCATGAGGTGCAGAAGAAGGACTGCACGTGTGCAGCATTCGCATGATGTGCGATTTCTTGGACAGCACTGTAAAGACAATGGGCACACGCACTAGAAATTTGGACTCACAGCCATGTCACTGTGGACTGTGGGGAGCCAAACCCAGGGAATTCATCAGATTCTCACCCCACCACCCAAACCCAGGGAATTCATCACATCCCTAGCATGCACACCTCTCGTGCATCTGTGTGCGTGTGCACAGAACATGCAAATGGAGCTGTGGGCTGCATCCTGGGTCTTCTCAGTCTTCTAAGTCCCTAATAATGACTCTGTTTCATGTATGTATCATAATAATTTCCTGCAGTGTTATAACGACAGAATTGACTTATAAGGAGAGAAGATGCATAGTTTACACGGTGTA